TTGGCTCAGGAGTTTAGCGTTGCGCTACTTGTTAGCGTGTCGCCCATCGCCAGAGTGTCTGACTAGTGAGATAACTGTGTTGATGCTGATATGCAACCACGTTGCATCGCAGCGTTACACAGCCGCCATTTGGGGGCTATTACTTGAAATTTCAGCCTTTCGTGCATGATATGGTGTTTGTCGAAGGCTGATGCTGCGCCCCACTCTATGTTGGTAGTTGCCTCGTCCTCCAGCGTTTGCTTTTGCTCCAAGCCCTTTTTAACATCACAAATCCCCATAAACCCTTTCTTTCACGGTCGCTAGGAGTTTGGTAAGAGTCTATTGCTTGGACTGAACCCAGTTTTCTATTTGAGTCTTGCGAACAAGCGGGAAGACAAAACGCAGGGCATACCAGGCCAGACAACCTCGACAGCGAGTGGTCTCACCATGTCAGCTACTACTCGAACCAATACGACAGGAATTGCGTCCTCTTCAGCCCTGGGTAGAAACGCCAACTTCACCCCATCACTATGGGATACTGCAAATGATGAGCTTGATCCCAAGATACAGGAAATACTTGCGACCGTCAACAAAGACAACGGCAGTGTAATTGATGCAGTGTTGGAAGAAGCCGTTACCCAACAGAAGTCACTGGCTACAAAGAGATGGAAGGCGACAATTGGTGGGAAAGAAGTCATATTGCGTGATGTTTTCGCAAAGATTATCCGGTGGATAGATCATTTTAAAGCCGTCGGTGACATCGCTGTGCAGTTTGATTCAGGTGCAGCTAGTTTACCCTGGGCGGCTGTTCGGTTTTTACTGCAAATTGCCATGAATGACAAGCAGTATCTGGAAGCTACAATCGAGGGAATCGAAATTGTCACACAGAACATCGCTACATATGCTGCGGTAGAAACGCTATATGTGGAATCAGACTTCCAGTTACATGATCAGATTCGAAGCAAAGTTCTTGGACTGTACGTTCACATTCTCAGCTTCCTCGGGGAGAGCATACAATATTTTCGACACACAACGGCCAGTACGTATCTGGCTTGACATCTCAGCATCAACATCTGAATTAACGCAGGACGCACAGCAAAAGGCGCGTTCTCGACTTCGCAGGGCGAAAGGCTCAAGCAGATAGCCAAGCATGACACCGAAATTCGACAACTAGCCAAAATGTGCGACTCACACGTCCAGCAACTGATACGGAAGGACATCATACGAATCGATGAGAACGTGATGACTTCGCTCAGAGCACAGTCTTTCCTTGAGTTCATTGCATGGCTTTCAATGACGCCATACAGAGAGCACCACACTCGTCACTCCAAAAAACGGTTACCCGGTACCACACAATGGCTTACAAGCGATTCGCGTTATGTCGACTGGAGGAGCAGTGTATCTTCATCGCTTCTGTGGCTCCGCGGCATTCTGGGCTCTGGGAAATCAAGTTTAGTCTCTGCAGTTATTGATGATCTACTACAGGTTAGTAATGCGCAAACACCTGTTTTGTATTACTATTGCGGTGATGCCAAGGGACACGGCTGCAAATGTGATGCGAAGGACGTGATGCGGAGTCTTCTAAGGCAACTCACTGTCAAGAACGAAGACACTTTTGAGATAGTTGAGCAAGTTCATCTGGAGTTCAAGCGGAGAGAGGCAAGGGGAAAAGTTGGCATGGGAAATGTGAACAAACTCGAACCACATGAATGCACAAAATGGATAGCCGAACTCCTACAAAACGATCACGCAGTCATCGTAATTGATGCTATCGACGAGATTGACATCATAGACAGACATCTTCTTCTCAAAGAGCTGATAACGCTTCGAGATGATTCAGCCCTTGTGGTGAAGATGCTGCTTTCCAGCAGAGACGACACCAACCTTTCGCAGTGGTTGAAAGGAGCAACGGAACTGCGTTTACAAGCATCGCTTACTCAAGCTGACATGAAACGTTTCATTGGACATTGCGTCTCGACGGCGATCGATAACAAACATCTTCTTGATGGTGTGATAGATTCTGCCTTTCGATCAGAACTAGAGTCTTATTTTCTCGACCGAGCCGATGGGATGTAAGTTTGACTTCTCTAGCATCTTCTTTGCCTTTTGGCTATTATGGACTAATACATTCGTTAGGTTTCGGTGGGTGGAGCTTCAATTGAGATATTTCTGCGACATGAAGTCGAAACACATTATCGAGAAGGCGATTTCGGATCCTGCTGGAGCTTCCCTTCGCACTCTAGACAATCTGCATGCTAAGATCTTTGAGAGAATTCTCCAAACAGACCCTCTGGCATACAATATTGCTACCCAAACTTTTCGACTAATGCTGTGTCTGCACGAGACCATATCCCCCGCAACATTGCTTGCCGCAGCATCTATCACGCGAGATGGATCGCAGGACTCTCTGGAGCTTTCTGATTTACTCAGAATCTGCTCCCATCTTGTGGTTCTCGACGATGAGCTCGACACGATCCGATTCGCTCATGCTTCGGTCCACGAATACTTATCGCGTCTCCCAGAATTCAGCATGATGAGTTCTAATAGCGCAGCAGCTTCGAGCTGCCTCTTGAGATGTATCGACAATCCAACTCCTGATCTGACCGTCGGTGTCCAACCTTCTCGCGATTTCGACGTGTACGCAGCAATGTACTGGCCGCTTCACTACAATGACGCGAGCGAACATGACCGTAACGGCTACCTAAAGGACTATTTGAGAGAATTCATGTTCTCTGATCAAGACTTCATGTCACCTTTTCCATCCTGGGTCGAGACAGTCGACGCGATAGCAAAGAAGTTATCCGTGCCACATCCACGTCTCTCGGATTTAACTGCCATCGGAAGCGAAAACGCAACGCCGCTCTTTACTGTATGCTTGTACGGGTTAGAATTTGCCATCGAGATTCTATCCAGAATGTCATCTTTTGATGTCAATCAAAAAAATGCGTGTGGACATGCCGGTCTTTACCTGGCCTCAGCTGCGGGTCAAATCCGTGTAGTGGATAGTCTATTGAAGCTAGGTGCTGATCTCACAATTGAAGGTGGACGCAACACTACTGCACTGCAAGCTGCATGCGCCAACGGCCATGGACACATTGCGCAACTCATCATTGACTTCCCATCTCAAAACATTACAGCTGGCATGACCACTTCGGCTATACAAGCAGCGAAAAAATAAGGCAAGAGAACGCAGTTTCGCGATGTGAGTGATATGAGTTGCACATTGGCTGCTCGCCCTAACACCTTTCCTTTTGTACTCTTTAGGTTCAGTACTCACGCTATGTTCATTACTATCTGACCATTGACACTAGTCTCTACACCAAGGTCCGTGAAGTATTCATAATCGCTGCCAATATTGCTTTTAGGCTGAGCCATGGTCCCAAAACAGCCATTTGTTGCGTTAGATGTCATAGTAATTGAGGAAAGTGATCCGTTAAGGCGAAGAGATACCACCTCAGAGTCCCAGCTAATCGAACTTTTCGGGTCCAAAAGCACGGATTGATAGTTACCATTTGTATAACTTAGAGTAATGTTCAGTGGACCGTTCATAACGTTTCCGGCTTGGCTGACGGGGCCAAGGTTCCAAGTCAGCTGGAACAATGTCAAATTAAGGATGGCACCGCCCAAACCCGAAGATCTAAAGTACCAGAAGTCTTGTATTAGCGATCGTCTTCTCAAGCCTAGGCCAGGAAGAATTTCAACTCACAGCGTCTGTCGCAGACCTCCCCTGAAGTTAATACGGCAATCTGGCTGGTATGGGCCACGTTGTGTGACCGACATAGAGTCTGGGTCAGCCAGTGGGATCACAACCTCAGCTGCGCATGTAAATGGTTGAAGGTTGCCATCATTGTCGAAGTTTTGGGGAAACCAGTACGTAGAGGAGATAGCTTGGGCATTAGACCCGTGGCTGACATGTCCTTCCAATGAGAAGTCCTGTGGATCGGTGCGATAGCCCCAAGCCCCAGTGAGAACAACTTGTCCGCCATTTGCTGTGGGCAGAACATTTGCGCCCTTGTTCTGAGCACCGCAGCCATTCTCTGACAAAACCGTTCCTTCACGAACTTCTGAAACTTTGCGTCCACTGGCAGTATAGTATGGGCCGAACGGGTCTCTAGACTTGGCATACCAGATAGGCACCTCGCAGTTTGCACATGTCGGGCCTCCGGTGATATACCACCATCCGAGGTTGTAGAAAAATCCGATGCCTTCCCAATGAGCCTTGTTCATGATGAGCGACGTGGTATTGTTCGTCCCTACAGTGCCTGTCATATCCTCATTGATTTTCTGAACATACACATCCCAAAGTGGAACAGCATTTTGATCGTCGTAACCCGAGTATACATCGGTTACCACATATACTGAACCATCAGGGCCATCAGCTATGTCGTAATCATGGGCCAAATGGTCCCCGTTGATAAGTTGAGGCTCAGACCATGGGCCGTAAGGCGTATCGGCTATGGCATAGTAAAAGGAGCCTGTCCGCTGGAGGTTAAAAGTCCGTCCATTACCTGCATTGAACCAAACAATGTATTTGTTGAGATTTGGAAGGAATCGCGCTTTCATCTTGTTTGGACCAAAAGAAGTTTGAGGTATTTCCTCAGGTCTGTTGACGGTGAAAAATCCTGCTAATTCCCAGTCTACGAGGTTGGGTGAGCTATAGATGGGCAACCCACATCGTCCGCTTCCAGTGTCACTAGTATTGTAGCTAGGGAATGCAGGCATGCCGAAACTCTGAGAGCCGCTAAAGAAAGTGATTCTGCCGCAAGCCCAAGACTCGCTGTACATGTAGTATGTTCCGTTGAAGTAATTGAGCGATGCTGCATGTTCGACGACTGCGTTACCGTTTTTGTCTAGCTTTCTAACAGGTTTGCCGTAGCGCAATGGTGCGTAAGGGTGAGGCTCCAATCCGTCATACTGGCCGATGATATCTTTCGGAGCAAAGTTATAAATGGTTGCGGTAGGCTGACTTTGGTTATCGGCAGCGGACTTGCCTTCCCTCTCATGAAGGAGGACGCTGGCTTTGGTCATAGCAGCGAAGCCAATCGCGAGTGCAAATACGTTCTAAGATATTTAGTTTATAAGTAGTTTCAATACTACGATGTCTTACTTGTGCAAGCTTCATGACGATTGCGAGCGGCACGCAAATCTCAACCAGAGCAGACTGCAGAGGAACGGGAAACTAAGCTTTTAAGTGTGAAGGTGCGAAAGCTGTATGGCCTGTAGGCACTGTTATTCAGAGTCAACATAATATCTTGCCTACAGACTTCACGAGTCTTCCAAACAATTTACTACTCTATTAGCAATTGCTATACAGCCCAGGTCTATTTATGTCTCGATAAAGGGGTGGAGTGGGTCCTTTGCCGGAATGTGGGGAGACTAGGCTAGTAAATGGGTCTCCACATCTAGGCTGGTAAATAGGTCTCCACATCGGGATCTCAAAAACGCTGTTTTCTTTACGAATAATTACCCAATTAGGCTGTTTAGTAGCTCATTCTATAGCCTTTAAGTTAAGTTTTATTTTTAATAAATATCGTAATAGGCTAGCTTACGGTGGTAAATGGGTAGGTGTAGGGTAGGGTAGGGTAGCTAAGACCTGGGTTGGTGTCGTTGTAGGGTTGCTAGGTCATGGGTTGGTGTCGGTGTAGGGT